AGCCAAGAGCATGGAATGGAAAAAGGAAAGTCTCTTTAATAAATGATGTTGGGAAAACTGGACAGCCACATGCAAAAGAATGAAAGTAGACCAGTAACTTACACCATACACAAAAATTAACTCAAGGTGGACTAAACACTTGAATCTAAGGCCTGAAATCATAAAACTCCTAGAAGAAAACGTAGGTAGTGTGTTGTTTGGTATCAGTCTTAGCAGTATCTTTTTGATTACGTCTCCTTGGGCAAGAGAAACAAAAGAAAAATAAATGGGACTACCTACATCAAATGAAAAAGCCTCTGCATGGCAAAAGAAACCATCAACAAAACAAAAAGACAACCAATTGGGAGAAGATATTTGGAAATCATATATCCAATAAGGGGTTAATATCCAAAATATATAGAGAACTCATGCAACTAACAACAAGAACAAAATAACCTTATTAAAAAATGGGCAGAGGATCTGAACAGATATTTTTCCAAGGAAGGTATATAGATGGCCAACAGGCACATGAAAAGATGTTCAACATCACTAATTATTAGGGAAATGCAAATCAAAATTGCAATGAGACATCACCTCATGCCTGTCAGAGTGAGTATTATTAAAAAGACAAGAAATAAGTATTGGAGAGGATATGGAGAAAGGTGAACCCTCATACACTGCTGATAGGCATGTAAATTGGTGCAGCCACTATGGAAAACAGTATTGAGATTCCTCAAAAAATTAAAAATAGAAATACCATATGATCCAGCTTTTCTACTTTTGAGTATTTATCAAAAGAATATGAAAACATTAATACTAAAAGATAGATGAACCCCTATATTCATGGCAACATTATTCACAATAGCCAAGACTTAGAAGCAGCCTAAGGGCCCATCAATGGGTGAATGGATAAAGAAGATGTGGTATGTGTATATATGTGTGTATGTGTGTGTATATATACACACACACACACATATATATACAATGGAATACTACTCGGCCATAAAAAAGACAAAATCATGCCATTTGCGACAACATGGATGCACCTTGAGGGTATTATACCAAGCAAAATAAGTCAGACGAAGAAAGACGATTACCATATGATTTAACTCATATGTGGAACATAAATAAGCAAACACATAGATATAGAGAACAGATGGGTGGTTACTGGAGGGGAAGGGGAGAGGGTGGGTGGAAGGGATAAAGGGGTGCATGTATTCAGTGATAGATATCAACTAGATTTTGGTGATGAACACAATGCAGTCTATACAGAAATCAAAATATGATGTACACTTGACATTTATATAATGTTATAAACCACTATCTCAATAAAAAAAGTATCTAAAGCACTATAATTTTATGTATTCTACTTGTCTTTTTTCAATTGTCTGTATTAAAATAAGCATGTATAAATACTAAAATAAGAAATCGTTCAAGTTTTTCGTAAATAAAAAGGCAATTTCTCATAGCCTGTAAGAGCCCATCCAGAATGAATCAGATTGGTTCATTGTATCAGCTTGATCTTAGAGACTGCTCACTTAGCCCATTTTTATGAGAATGCATGTGGTTTTTCTTTATTCTTCTTGATGCTTCTCTCTTCTTTTGCACTACAAGTAAGGACTGCATGAACTGGTGGTCAGCATCAGTAGTGTTCCTAAGTCTGTAGGTTATTGCCTATTTTCTAGCTTATTAGGACTTTCAACCAAATAAGGCCAAAATAAAGCAGGTCACAAAGAGAAAGAATTTTGTATGGAATTTTGGAGTTTTTGCTCTAAATTGTTTTAAGCCATAGTCAAGACTGAATAGTTCCAGTTAGGTGAAAGTAGACAAAATGGGCATGTTGACTGATGGCGGGGAGACAAGTACTCTGAAACCTGGGCAGGAGTAAAAGGTTTTCAGGGTTAAGGTACTTTGTAGCCTCTCCTCTCTATTGCCTGCCTGCCCCTGGCCCTGCTTTCAGGACCAGGCAAACCTACATTTAGACTCCAGCTCCACCTCACTCTCCTCATCAGTAAAATGATAATACCTATCTTATAGGATTATGAGAATTAAGTGAAATAAAATATGGGAAAATATCCCAATCATCATTTGCCTATAGTAGGCAATCTTCTAAAAATACAAACTTACAGGTGTTACAAACCATCTAAAATTTCTTGGATACTTTTTTGAGTTGCTCACCATGGAGAAAGATGAGAAGAAAGTTGGGTGAATACCCATCAGAAACACAGAAATCAAGAAGATACGGAGGTATTAGGGAAGAGGCAAATAGTAAAGTGTGCTCTGATACATGAGTGAATAAGAAGAGTATTTTGAACTCTCTTTGTTGAGCAGAACCTGCACATCTACTCTGGTGCTTCTGAATGCTTGGAGATCCCTTGGAGAATACCAAAACCCTCTCATCCCTCTGACTTATTTCTTGGGTAAAATCCCTGGACACATAGTATTGAAGTGCTGCTTCATTGCCTTTGCTTGTCGTTTCCTCTGTGGGGGAAGTGGACTGCCACAGAGGCACACAGACTTCTTCTAGATCACAATCCCTCATGCTTCTTATGATTGAGGACAAACTATTGACATCAGTAATAGTGCTCTAAATATTTATTTGATTGGATATGACATAATCATACCTCACTGTAATCACAACTCAGATTATTTAATAAATGCTTACATTTATAACTTTTCCTTACAAAATATCCTAGTGTTTGGTTAAAATATGCTGATAACACCACATCCACTTAGTTTCAGATGACTTGAGTAGCTCATTGGGGCATTCTGGAAAGGGAGTTTGAAAGGCCAGATAGGAGGTGATAGCACTGATTCAGAAGAGAGATGATAAATGGCTGAACCAAGAGCATGAAGAGAAGGGGTCAGATGTGGCAGATTTTAAGATAACAAAATTTGTAGGACATAGCAACAGCTAGAAGTGTTCTGGTTTAGTGAACTAGTGTGTTCCACTCAGTGAGAGGGAGTCTCTGGGAGCAGACAGGTGAGGGAGAGATGATAAGCTCCCCTGTGGCCATGCAGGTCAGGAGCTTAGCATGCGTCTGTGCTGGAGACACTATTTTGGGGCTTGGCAGCTTCTGGTGGTGATTGAAACTATGGAGTAGGGTGGGATTGCCCAGGAAAGCTTGTAGGGTAAGAAAGAAATGGGCTGAAGGTAGAGTTGTGAAGACCACCAATAGTTAAGGGTGTGCAAAGCGGGAGGAACGGCAGCAACAAGCTATCTGTTGCCAGGCATCTGAATTATATGTGAGTATGTGTGTATTGGGTAGAAAGGTACATGCGAGTGAATAATACACATTGTTCACTGTCGATGTGGTCAAGAAAGCACCAGCTCCACTGTACTGCCAAGGAGCCAGTGAGTGTTTTGTTGGAGAAATAGTAAAATTACACCATATATTGGAGGGAGGGAGCAAATTTCCAAGACTCGTCTTTTGAAATGAGAGGAGTATGTTATTTATGACAAACTGTAGTCAGATTTCTGTTAAAGTAACTACTGATCTTGCAAACCTAGAAAGTGACAAAAATCTGACAGCAAGACATGCCTTTGAATCCTCACCCGCTGGGCACTTCTCTGATGTATTGACTGGTTGGAAGAGATGAGACAGTGTGCATGTCAGACAGGAAGGGCTGGATGTGCTGCTGCCAGCACATCTCACTTTTGATTTCCAACTGAGTTGCTAAATCACAAGTGATCATTTTAAAGACCACTTTCCCCCTTCCTTTGTTGGGAAAGAATTCTGCAAGCAGGAAGTTATCCTCACAGCTCTGAACTGTGAGAACCTCATCTTTGACAATTCTTTGCAACATCTCTGCATGAGTGAAGCTTATTTATACTGACTAAGGAGTCCGAACAGCCACTGATTGAGTAACAAAATTAAGGTAGTGACCATCCTCCTTTATCTCTGAATCGTCACTATACAAACCTTTTATTTAGAAACCAGTTGTGCTTCACACTGTTGATGGCACATGATATAACTCTTACTGGGGTTTCTTCTTGGAAGTGGCTGTGCTGGACCGCACACTTCTGAGTAACCATGGAAAGATTCTGTGGGTTTTCCTTTGTGTGTGGGTCCTGTTTTCTGGGGTCAGTGGGTTTGTACCTTCCAACTGAGGAAGGGCTGGGGTGAAGGCTATGGGGACTCCCAGTGTCACATAAAAATTTTCAAGAGAGGACCTAAATCTCATTGCAATTATTTCTTTGAGGTGTCTGCATTAGGATGAGGAATTCCTAGTCTCTCTTCCTAAGCTATACCAAATGGTTGCATGGTTGCAGTCCTTTTGGAATTTCCCTTTAGAGGGGAAGACTAAAATGTCAGGAATTAGAGGTGCAGTGTTGCTCCTCCATTCTCTCTTTTGTCCCAATCCCAAAGTCCCTAGGAAAGAACTTAATTCTTACATATTTAGGCATCCAGCCTTCTCTACTAAGTCTTCCTTCCCCTTGACAACAAAGACTTTCACAGTGAACCAAACCTACTACTCTTCCAAACTTTTCTTCTTATCTTGGTCTGGCTGAAATAAAGCCACAAACAAATATCTAGATTACCCTGAGCTCAGCAGGGTTTTCCTCTAGGGCTAGTATAATGACATTGTAAAGCCAGTATGGAAGTTTCTAAACTTGTAAGTAGTACTTGTCGAGAAAAACTGTTTTTTTCTGTATCAGAAAGTTCCCTCTGGAGCCTAGTTTTGTGCGTGTGTGTGTGTGTGTGTGTGTGTGTGTGTGTGTTTGTAAGGGACTAAAAAGAAATTGTCACATGGGAGAGTGCTACTTTAGAGAATAGGATATTTTGCCACTTAAAAAATATTTATAGAGATTCATTTTAGAGATTCTGTTCTTTCCCCAAGTGTAAATCTTCTGTGTGCCTTATACAGAAAAGAAGCCTTGCTAAATTTGGTAGAACATACATTCATTTCTTTAGGAAAGAGAGTTTGAAGTTTCCCTTCAAACTTAGTGTTACACAGTGGGACATCAGACCAGATGTTTAAAACCCTTGAGAGTCATAATGTCTGTCCTTCTGTTGCAGGTGCAACAACGAGAGTGAGTGGTCCCAGATCCACGAGAATATCATCCGCAAGTCCAGTGCCAAGTACTCTGCCCCCAGCGCCAGCCATGGTGATGTACTTCTCTGGCTAGAAGACTTTGTGTTACATTTGTAGTCACTGATCATACACACCTAAATTGATTTGTATCGATCAGTTGCCATACATAAAGTTCAGTTCCCTACAGACCTTTATTCTCCTGTTCAGGCACTTTCTATTCTTTCTTTTTGTGATAATTTGAGACCTTCCCAAATTATTTCCCACCAAAATACATTTCCTGATTTTTTTATGACGGATTCATGTGCTTTGATAGGTAACCTGAATTCCAATTTAAATCCAGAGTGAACAGAAGTGTTGCAGCATTTGTCACATTGTGAAGTCTGTGTTTTCCTGAACAAAGATTACACACACAGCCCCCAAAAAAGACAAATATTAATATTACTTTTTCTATTCCTATTCAGTGTTAGCATCACCAAGAAAGCCTGACACTAATGAGAATCAATGATTAGTCTGCCAATATCTAGTTATTCTGGAACTAGACTAGAAAATCTTTATTTCAAAGCAGCTTTCTTTCATCTTAGCTCAACTTCTTTTCCTTTTCCCTTCTTTTCTTTTAAAACCCTGTTTAAATAATCTCCATCTAAATCCTGTGCAATTCTACCCACTAGAAAGATTATATTTTCTCAATTGAACTTTAATTTCTTGATTAAATTAGAAGTGCTATTTAAAAGCCTATGAACTTTTATATACTTTTGAAGATAGCTATCAAATTTACATAGAACCGTGTTTCTCCTGACAGTTTTTACCTCTAAATTATTTCATAACTTCTATTACATAACCTTCTTCGTGTTAACTTTCATAGACTTGTTGTAAATAAAAAGTTGGCCTTAAATAGCAGTGTAAAGCCACTATAAGACATGGCAGTTTTCCAAAGTTGCGGAGAACTTTTTTTTTCCCTGTCAGGGTCAGCAGATATTCAGCTAGGAGGGTCCTCAGAGCAGCTCTACACCAGAGGCTGAAAGTTTGAGACCCTCAGCTGGGAGTACTTGATTCCTCTACAACCTTGTAGCATGGGGGTCCTCAGGGCCGCTCTCACTATTTTTTTTTTTTTTTGAGGAAGATTAGCCCTGAGCTAACTACTGCCAATCCTCCTCTTTTTGCTGAGGAAGACTGGCTCTGAGCTAACATCCATGCCCATCGTCCTCTACTCTACACGTGGGACACCTACCACAGCATGGCTTTTGCCAAGCGGTGCCGTGTCTGCATCCGGGATCCGAACCAATGAACCCCGGGCCACCGAAAAGCAGAACGTGTGAACTTAACTGCTGCGCCACTGGGCCAGCCCCCTGCTCTCACAATTTTTAAGTAACTGTTTTCACTTATGTATGTGCCTGGATGCCAGGGAGCTCCATGCGGTGTGCTTGAAGGGGAAAGGGAGTTCATACTCCTCACCTAAAACTAGGCTACAGCAAGTGTCAAATAAATCTTGTTTTTTAAAATACAGAACAGTTACTAGCAATTTTTTAAACTACTGTTCACATCACTATTTGTAATGTTCTTTATTTACTTAGTTGATTTATAAGGAGCTACCCTTGGCTACAAGTTTTTGGGACATGATATGGTTAAAGTAGGAAGAACATTTTAAAAGAGAGATGATGGTAATAGCACATTAAAGAAACAACTGAAAGAGCAATTTTCACTATCACCTCACCAGGTTCAGATGTTGAGTTTTGTCTCACTCCCCAGAGTGAGCAGGGACTGTGCCATCTTCAATGTCGTGGTTCCTGTGCAAACTTCACAGACATTTGCCTTTTAAACAGTGTTAGAAAGGTTTCTGTTCTTCTCTGCTGAGGGCACCACAGACTTCAAAGTGCCTCAGTTAGGATAGCTCTCATGAGAGGAGGTCTCCATGCACCTGTGGAAAAGCCAGGAGGAGAACTAGGCTGCTTCCCTTTGAAGTGTGTGTCTAACTGCTTCTTGGCAAGGCTTGACTTGGAAGCTGGTTGAGATCTTAGAAATTATCTGTTTTGGCTCCCTCCTTAAATAAATGAAGAAACTGATGTTCAATGAAATGACTTAGTCACTGAACAGGGAGCCCAGGTTTCCACACTCCAGGCCACTGGCGTTGCCCCTCTATTGCCAATCTTCTGAGCATGGGTTTTTCACTGCTGGGCCCTGGGATCTTCATGTCAGAGAATTTCGTAGATTATTTCGTAGATTATTCAAGGAATAATTCAGGTCTTTATTCGTCTCCTTAATTAAAGATACATCTTCATAAAAAATTAATTTACTTTGCTGTAAACTGTCACTCATCTTTGTTAAACATCATGGACAGTTCATTGCCTTGGCAATTCTGTTTCAGAAGTCATTAATGCTTTCCCTTCAAGTCAAATCATATAAAAATGCAGAAGGAATTTCTACATTAGTTTTTAATGCTGGGAGTAAATGTATCATTCAGCAGTAACTCTCTTAAATGCAGCTTTAATATATGTCTCCTCATTTCCATTGTTGGCCTCTTAGATATGTAGCCACAGACCTAACTTTTAGCAATTCCAGTAGCATGAAGGTCATTAAGAATAAATGAAGGCAAACAAAGCAATTGACCACATTGGTTTTCTATGTATTTTTAAAGGACTATTAACTACAGATTTATTTACATATCTTGGGCTAAGATTAATTTACATTATTAATCTTCGTCCACCTCTTCCACAAGAGATGGAGGTAAAGAGGGACAGGGACAGGTTGCTAACCCTCCAATATTCCATACAGGTATCAATTTGTCCTGTTACTTTTTTATGCGACAGTCTTTAATCTGAGATGAAATTCAGTAAGAAAACAGTTTTCTTGTGTCAGGGATCATATTAACAGAGACATTGTATAGACTTAGTTACTTTCAAGATCTTTTTGTGAGAGCTGGATGATTTGTAGGTAGAACACCAAGTGTTGCTGAGGGACTGTTTGCATATTGGGTAGGCGAGTGGGTCACTTTTCTCAGTTATTCACAGAGGCTTTTCTGTCCTGCTTTAGCATTATTTGGCAATGTGCCTCAATCACCCAGGGTTTCAGAAGCAAAAAAAAGACCCAGAAGTTCCAGGATCCCAACTCCTACAAAAGAGGATGAAGTTGTTATAGCCTCCATTGGTGACTTCTTTCATTCTTTGTGTGCCTTTTCACTTGCTCTCTTGCATAAACTGAAGCTCTCTTCATCTTATTTGACACATTTAGAGGTGGAAAGCAGCTGCTCAGGATCCTTTTGAATAGCTTGAAAGCTAGATGTGACTCTCACAGCACTTTCAGTCTACATCCTCACAAGTTGCACTTTGCATCTCTAAGCCAATTTGATTGCCAGAAAGTGAGGAGATGAAAGGCAGTCAGTGGATTCTTGAATAAATCCTTGCCTATGCAGAATGATGAGTACACCCGCTGATTTTTTTCCTTTGCCCTCCAACCACCATCTCAAATTCTGAAAACTGTCCCATCCTCACCTGTCTACTCCAAGCTAGGCCATCTCCTAGATCAGTGGATTTCTGCTCACCCAGAGGATAAGATGTGATAGCTGTGTAAGGATACTGCAGATAAATGAGCTGGGGTTGTGCGGGAGGGTCGAGTATCTCCAAAGCTGCTCTTCTCTACAGAGATCATTGTGGTATGGGTTCTGGCCCCCTACCTTCCAGATTCATAAACTGATTGTAGTTGAGTCCACCAAGTGCTTAGGCTGGAAAACTTACTTTAGGGTGGTCCAAATGCCAAACAGTGATTATGTAACCATAATGCCAATTGGAATACCATATGTCAGCTTTTTAGGGCACTGTGATCCTGCAGTTAATGACACCTGGGACATCATATGTGTGATCCCAGGGTTTATTGGAGAGTGTGAGCTTAGCTGAAGCAATGAGATCATCTTGAGGTTCTGTCTGGGCTGCAGTAGAACTGTATTTCCTCCCCTGGCCCAGCTGTGAGAGTACATATTCCTAGTTACTAGAATATTTTGATCTGCCAGTTGCAATGTCTGTGGCTCTTCTTTCTGACCTCTCTCTTTCTCCTCTTCTCCATCCCCTCTTCACTCTCCATTCCCAGACCATCCTTATTCTACAACTCTGTTTATTGTTGTCTCCATTCCAGGCACCACTCTTCTGCTCGTCCTAATGTTCATAACATCTGTCCTCATTTCTAGATGTTCATCTTCTGTGCAACTCTCAAGTTTCTAGATTGACAAGGTTGCTGCCTGCTGACCCATAAATCAGCACCTAAATTCATCATCCTGTTAACAGTTGATCTCATTCACAAAGTCTCAGAAGGCACTTCCTAACTCCATCTAGCCTCACAGCCTTCTAGCCAGTGGCTGCAGTGGGGAACCTTTGGGGGCAGGGGAGGAGGTGGTTTCCAGAAGATTCCTGCTTTGTGCAAAACTCCCTAGGGTACAAGTAGCTAGCTTACAGATTCTCCCAAGTTCTGAACAAAGCGCCTGGAATCATCTGGAGGGTCTGAAACTTTCAGAGTCTGATGCAAGGCTCAATTAGTCCCATAAGACACCCCTTCTTTTCCTTGCAGTGCAGTGGTTCCCTGCAGGGACAGTGTAATGTCTGCTCTGCTGTTTTCTTTACATGCCATTGCAAGATTGAACCAGCAAATTGCTTACCACATTTTGGCATACTCCTGCCATAAAACACAGAGCCTCTTAGCTCATTCATTTCCAGCTAGTGGGACACCTTGACACAAGGTCTTCTTTGGTTACCCTTGTTTTTAGTCTTCCATTGTTTCTATAGACTTCGGGTCCCTAAATCTACAGTTTATGTAGTTCAACACTCCCATTCAGTATTCGCTAGGGCCCAACCAGGCCCTGTGTTGCATGCTGACGAAGAGAGAGGAAGGCAACTCAATCTCCCAGACCTCAGTCTGTGTTTAATAGACTACTTCTCTGGGTTATTGAGGTAATCTTGACTTAAATTCCTTTAGCTTTCTAGAATATTTCTTCAGAATAACACATGCTTTCTACATCAAAATTTTTCTCAAGAAAAATGCTGAACTTGGAACATTTTCCTCTGAAAAAATGTGAGGCTTTATGTCTTTTCTAATACTACAATACAGGGTGGAACTTTGGTTCTGAGTAAGAAAATGCTTTTGTTTTTGCAGGTCTTATTATTTCTCTGCAGCTTCTTCGTGGAGATATGGAACAGATTAGGAGAGAAAATCCCATGACATTTAATAGGGGATTGGCAATTACAAGAAAATTGGGATTTCCTGATGTCATCATGCCAGGTAGGCAGAACTTCTTGGGACTGGGATGGGAGAAGGGTTAGGAGGATGGAGTTCAGTGCTCCTCTCATGAGCAGGTGGTGAACCATGCATTAAAAGCCTCTGCATCCCAAGCCAGGTTGCTGACTGCAGTCTGCATCCAGTGGCTCCTTTGGCTCTTGTTAGCATTTGTTCTTTTCCAGAAGCCCCCACATCCCATTCACCAGTGCAACATGACAATCCAGAAGATGGGCTTTGTTATCTCCATTGGAGGCTGGCTGGTAGGAACCAACGTGGAACTCTTCATAGGGATGTCTTTTTACACTCTTCTCTTCCATTACATTTCTTAGAAGAGAATTGGCTCACAAGAACTTCCTCTTTAAGGGGAAGAATATACCAAAATATGTGCCTGTAGTATTGATCAATCCCAATTCATTTAAGGATAACAGATACTTTTTAATGTATCAGAAAAATGGATCAGGCAAATGGTATAAATTAGGCATGTGAATTGTACTACCTGGCCAGTTTCTCAGGAATTGTCTTACCCGCCTCATCTGATGCCTGATGGAGAGCAGAAAGTGGGAATGCATTGACCCTCAGGTGTGCTTCCAGCACGTCAGTTCCAGGTTCATGCTTCCTAGTCAGGCACATGCAGGCACAGCTGGAGAGGTGGATCCAAACAGGCCTTCAGAGCCAAGGGGGACTATAGGAAGTGAGGAAGGGTAGAGGCATGGCTCAGACGGATTGCAGGTGGTCTGCTAACCAGAGGAGATGTGAATAAGGAATGGAAAATCAGAACAGGCAAATAGCTGGTTGTCTGGATGGATTACAGGAGGAGTGAGCCTTCCCTTTCCATTGAGTTTTAATGCTCCATGAAAAGCTTATTTGCTTTTGTTTAAAAGGTCCAAGCCAGGCTAGACCGAACTGATTGTGACTACTCTAAATATCACCTCTTTGGAGTTATCCATCGTGCATGGAGTTCTTCATCCTCTTGTTGGAATTATTTGCCAACACATACCCAAAGAGGAATGTGACCTGAGCATAGAGAAGACCCATGTGGTAGATTCCAGCTGGCTTCCAACTTCCCACACTATGCTTGGCTTGTTTCCTGTCACCTCCTTTCCCTCTCCATAGACACTGTGAATGCAGAGCAAGCTGCTGTGAACAGCCTTCATCTCCTGTTCATACACACAGGAGGGTCTTTTGGATGGGAAACCTAGGTCACGCAGTTGAGTCCATGTTTATCTTTAAAGGCTAAGGAGACTTCATGCTTATGAAAGGCCCTCATCTGGCTGTTGTAGAGGTGATGCCCTCCACAGGACGTTTATCCCATCTGTTCTGACAGCATTCCTCAGCCCTCTGTGGCCCTAGTTATGGGGAAAATAAGAGCCCAGGCATAGTCCCTGGCTTCTTGGCAATGTGTCATGGAAGAAAGAATAGGTGGTTACCAAAATTGATCTGGTGATCTTTTTTTGATTAGAGATCCAGGTTCATAAAATACAGTCATATATTCCAGAGATGTACTTAAAGTCCTTCTTTTATTTTAAGAACTTGTTTGTCTAAAATTTGGACGTTTCTGTTAGCCTTCACACAGTCATAGAATTAAAACCAAGTGAGCAGAGACTAGAAAGGAACAAGTTTCAGTCAAAAAATATTTTTAAGCAATCTTTGATTTCAAGTTAAGTTGTCCAAACCTCAGCTATGGAAATAGATCTTTTTGTGGGGCACTCTGTATCTCTTTGTATATTGACACACAGGTTTATAAAGGACTCCTGGGTATGCTGGATATCACTGTGGAAATCTGCTGTATCAGGCATTGGTAAGGCAAGCTGAAGTTAAGGGGATTTCCCCTTCCCTGGGCAGTTATGGGATCATTATATGATTTGCCCCACAAGGCTGAGACACTGGGCAATCCTGGGAGGTCTAGGCCAGGGCTGTGAGATGCTACTTCCTGGGTTGTCTACCTTTGAGTACTGAGTGCTAGAGCTGAAAGTAAGGATTGGTTCACAGTCAGGAAGCAGTTTTTTGTGCATAATATGTCTCCTCTGCTACCCTTCCTTGCTCTTTTGCAAAGGTGGCCACTAACAACTGACAGCCCCCTTAGTGTACCCCAAAATACCATCAGAGTGGATTTGCCATCCTTGGGCAAGGTGATAGGGATGGCCTGCAGGTCCTCCTGGAGCAGTAGGAAAAATGCGCAGGAGTGTTTTACATTGCAGTCAACCTATCTTGGGAAACCGTGACATGGCAAGAAGTGCCTTGGTGAGACTTTCAAGTCCTGGCACCTGTCCAGCTGCATCTGGTCCACCCCTCACCTGGGAGAATGTTGTACCTGGGCTGCAACAGTCCCTCAGCCCTCACAGTGCTGGTGTGACCAAGTTACAAGAAGTTGCAATTTCTTCTTGACACATGGACATATGGGAAATGAACAGGAAATAAATTATCAGTAACTGTAAACATTTCAATATAAATCGGAGAAATTAGAGTAAACGTAAAAAATAGAATTACTTATGAACTTACGATCCTTGTTTTAAAATTACCCAGCATTTAGCAGTAACTACCAGTTACTCATTTGGAGAGGTCTTTTTTGTCAGGATGGTCCAAATAGGTCCTTGTCAAAGCATATTGACATAGCTTATAGCTCTGAGGTAAATAGCTATAACTCTCTACAGTTACAGAGTTCAGACAGGCTCTAGCCATACCCATATCCAAAATACCATTTCAAAACAGATCTTTCTGATAGTCTCCCATTGCTTTCCATGGGTATTTACATATACAGCATGTGACTAATGTGAACGGGAGATCTGAGGCCCTGACTTCACAGCCATCTAGCTCTGCTCATGACCCAGGGTAATGAACAAGAGGCAAGAGCACTGTTGCTGGTATTCTGGGAGGTCTCAGAGAAGGCACGCCAAACTGGAAAATGCCGTTCTAGATTATAGAAGAACAAATAGATATGGGAATTTAAGCCTAATATTGAAACTGAGCACTTACAGCCTTTTGTTGGTTGATCACCGTATTTCTATGAATACTTCCTCCTTCCCTCCAAACTTATTTTAGTTCAGTACAAAAGTTAATAACTCTATAGCACACTCTTACTCCTTTCCTTTTTTCAAGTAGATGGGCGGGAAAGACTGGAGCAGGACAGGTATTCCAGGTGAACAAGATGAAGTTCACTGTTCCCATTGACTCACTTGTCAGAATTAGCCAAAATAAAACTTTAAAGAAAACTGTCAGCCAAAAGACTGTAAACTGAAAGGAATGATTTAAAATTTCTTGCTCAAGAAAGGGCTGTACCCTTCTCCAGACCATGTGTAAGCCAGCAGAGATGTACCATCACCTTCTACTTCTTTCTCTAGTTCTTTGCTTTCCTGGAAAGTCTGTTCCCTGGAGTCATAGGAAATACTTAGTTCTGTCATGGCTCTGTGGAAATTACGTTTTAATTTGTTTTCTAAGCCTTGTTTTTTTTTTTTTTTAAAGACTGGCACCTGAACTAACAGCTGTTGCCAATCTTCTTTTTTTTCTTCTTCTTCTCCTCCCCAAAGCCACCCAGTTCATAGTTGTATATTCTAGTTGTGAGTGCCTCTGGTTGTGCTATGTGGGATGCTGCCTCAACACAGCCTGATGAGCTGTGCTGCATCCACACCCAGGATCGAAACCAGCAAAACCTCAGGCTGCCAAAGCAGAGCACGCGAACCTAATTGCTCAGCCACGGGGCTGGCCCCAAGCCTTGAATTTTTAAGGTTATCATTTATTGTGGGCAATAAGGGCTAAGTTTCTATTAGTTAGATGGTCTTCAGTCTTGTCAGAAGAAATCTGCGCTTTGATTTAGTATGGTCTAGCTGATGACTAAGTTTTTCTTAACACAGTAGTTCCCTAACCTTAGTATGTATCAGAATCACCTGCAGGGCTTGGAAAAACACAGATTGCTAGGCCCACCCCAGGAGTTTCTGATACAGTAGGATTAGGGTGGGACCTGACAATTTTCATTCCTCACAAGCTCTCAAGTGATGGTGATGCTACTGGTTTGGGACACCCTTTGAGAACCATGTCCTAGAGAGTACTCTGCTTTAGAGATGCTTTGCCTTTGCCTGGGTTGGACCTGGCACAAGTACTGCACCTCTCTGGGTTGCCCTGAACTTGCCCGTTAGGAGGCAGCTGTGCAGGTATGGCATCCCTCTGAGGGACCCTCTGACTCTTGCCCTTGTACTCAGAAATACACTCTGTCCTTTGCTTTGACCCCTGATAAAAAGTGCATGCTTCATCACTGACCTGCAAGTGATGTTTTTTCCTCTTTTCTTGTTTGTCTTAATTGTTCTTGTTTCTCTCTGTGCTGTCCCCTCATTTTCGCCCCTTTCTTTCTGGTGCAGAGATGAAGATAGTTGGGTGTAAGTTCCTGCTTTTTTATGTCCTGTCTGCTTTTTGCCTGCTTTGTTTCCATCTTCATTTGTTTCATGGAATGTTGCAAAACTGGGTTGGGGTGTCATGTACATTATTAATCTTTCATCAGCCTCACCTTTTGAGGTAACTGACAAGACATAAAAAAAAGAAGCTACCAGCCCAGCCTAGAAGGCTGTGTATTACTTTGGGTGTTCATTAAGATCTGAGGAAACTAAAGACAATTGGAATGTTTAGAAAACCTTAATAAACCCTAGGTGTATAGCTACAGGAAAAGATTTTTATGAGATAGATCAGCTACTCCCATTGAAAGGAAAATGAGTAGTGCTTATCCCAAGCTACAAAGAACCAGAGGGGTTCTCTTTTCAGTTCTGCTGGACACATCTCGTACAAAAGGCAAACAGATACAGACATGACTTTTGAAAGAAAGCTCTCCTCAAGGGGAGTGATGACAGTATGCACCACAAGTAGATTCATAGGACCATGGTTAGACTTAGTGTCAAATGAGGCTTTAGCAATATCTGTAAGGGATAGTTTAGGAATGATCACATCCGGACCCATAATGGGTTGGAAGATCATCACATCCCTGGCCCAAGAAAAGAATAACTATATATAATAGTGTCACA